TGTAAATTGTTAAGAAAATTGTTTTCTTTTAGTGCCTTCTGGGATGTTACATAATTTTTTCTTTAGCCATTATTGCCAGAATTCCTATCTTCATCCCAGTGCCTGTGAAGACAAAGATAAAACCAATCTACAGCTTCTGCAATAGCCATCACTGAACTGCTTGCAGAACGTGCCTGGACTATGTATCACTTGTATGCATTGTAAACTCACCTGTATGCATTGTGAACTATCTGTTGGTGCATCGACTTGTGGTAGTGTTGGGGTATTTTTGCTGATGATGTCATTGGTGGTACAATTTTCCCAAAAGGAGCCGTCAATTGGCTTGGTGTGTCTTCCTCCCTTCTGCTTGTCATGGTCGTTCAGCTAAAATTTGGGGGCCAACAGAGGTGAGGCAAAGAACCTCACCCCTCCGCTGGTACAACAACCTCTCCACAGGTGTGGCTGTATACTGGACCGGTAGTCAATGACGGGTAAGATCCAATTGCAATGATACCAACCTAAGACAGGAGGCTGACGCCTTGAGGTCAGCTCATCCAATAATGGATAAGGACCATATGTAGTATTGGACAACCTAAGGCAGGCACGGTCCCTAAGCCACATGCTTGTTGTTTAAACAGAGAGGGGGAGATGTTGAGAGCCACTGCTGAAGGGCCCCCAGCAAACTTTCAGACTGCCAGCTGATGATTGGCTCACAGCAGCCCCAGCAACATCTACCTGATTGGCTCCTCTGCGGTGATGCTCATTGGGCTGTTTCCCTGCCCTTCAGACCACAGAGCTGCTCATTGGGGGACTATTTTGGCTCCGCCCACACGACCCAGCCAATGGGCCTTAAGAGCAGGAGGATTGTGGGAGGTGGAGAGGCTGGTGGAGGAGAGAGGCTTGTGGGAAGCCGGTGGTGGCAGTTGGGCTCTGAGGGTTTTTCCTGAGGAGCTGTTTTGTTTGGCGTGTGTGGTTCTAAAAATAAAGTTCGTTTCTTTTGACAAGTGGCTCCTGAATTGTGCCCAGCCAGACTGTGAACAGCTCTGAGTGCTGTATGACCCATGAGCACTTGTGTTCTGTGGAAGGCCTAACTGTGAAGTGCTGCTCTGCAAACCAGTCACAAAGCAATAGCAGCCACCACACCCTCAGGCACATGCAGACGGGGGGGCCTACCAGGCAGCAGTATGGATGCTGGCCTTCTGCCTGTCCCTAGGCTCCTTGACTTATGGGCATCTGACATTCGCCACTGCTCTCTGCCCACAGTCACTAGAAGGACCCGAAAGACCCAGAGGTTAGTTCAGTGCTCCACTGGGTAGGCTGCCCAAGCCCAGACCCCACTGGCTGGACGTCCGCGATCTTCCTGCTCAACATTCATTTCTGCCTTTTGGTAATGGCCCCCAACTTGGAAGACCTAACAGTGGACACATCCACCCTTYTAGTTTGACACAAGCAGGGAGCCGATTCAGGAAATGACTTGGGGAAATCAGGCAGCCTGGTCCAGGAGACCTCCCTCCTGCTGTGGTGGTGAAGCCGACAGTGAGGCAGGCCTCAGCAGCCCTGGGATGCTATTGCTATGGGAAACTGTGGCATGAGGGCTCAGTATTATGCCCAACCAGCAGTCTGATAAGGAAGTGGCAGGACTAGATCTGGGCCCAGAGCTGCCACCTTCAGCACAAGCAGGGGCTCCCTAGGAAGGCCACAGAGGACAGTGTAATTGGGTCATGGTCAACCAGTGGGACACAGCATGTACGGCCAGTGAGCTGGATGTCGGGGATAGACCAGGGCTGAATGCTTTCACCCCACTGCTGATGACATCACTGGAGCCCGAGGCCCTGCAGAACCAGGAGCATCCCCACCTCCAACTTCTCATGACTTGCTCAGGAGTTGTCTTCTCTTGGTTTGGGTTTTCTTTTCTTGGTACCAGGAATTGAACTCAGGGGCACTCAACCACTGAGCCACATCCCCAGACCTATTTTGTATTTTATTTAGAGACAGGGTCTCAGTGAGTTGGTTAGTGCCTCGCTTTTGCTGAGGCTGGCTTTGAACTCCTGCCTCAGCCTCCCAAGCCACTGGGATTACAGGCATGCACCACTGTGCCTGGCTGGTTTGGGGTTTTTGATCCTTGAAATTGAGGGCTCTAATCAACAGCTTCTCCTATGGGGTTGTTGGGGAGTGAGGAATGATTTCTAAAACACCTGACGTGTTCCACAACTTATCACTCAGGGTTACGCCAGGGGAACCTGGCTACATGAAATAATCACACAAGAGACAGAGATACCTTTTTCTTTGGGTCCTGAGATGCTTCCTCTGACTTTACAGGTTTGTGGAAAAGAGAGAACATGTGCTGAACTCTTTTATTGGGGAGAAGCCATTCAAATGAGGCAAGGGGTCAGGTTTCAGGGGGTTGAGTCTAGCTTTTTGATGTCTCCTGTCAGCAGGTTGACTGACATCTAGGAAGGCCACGCCCATCTCATGAGCTGTGTGGGGATCATGGCAGAGCCAGGCCCAGCCAAACAGAGGGACAAGGTCGGGTCTGTCCACCCTGTGGGCTCAGTGCTCAGAGTCCACACACACACACACAGCCCATGGCTGGCTTGCCACATCTCCACATTCTCATCGCTCAAGGCTAAGGGCACTCATTCCTATGTGGAGCTTCTGACACTGGTCCAGAGCTGGGCTCCTCAATGTCTTCCACAACCTGAATCAGCCACTGCYGCAGTCTGACTGGGCACAATTCAGGAGCCACTTGTCAAAAGAAACAAACTTTATTTTTAAAACTACAAACGCCAAACAAAACAGCTCCTCAGGAAAAACCCTCAGAGCCCAACTGCCACCACCGGCTTCCACAAGCCTCTCCCACACACCAACCACCACCTCCCACAATCCTCCTGCTCTTGAGGCCGATTGGCTAGGTCGCGTGGGCGGAGCCAAAGAAGTCCCCCAATGAGCAGTTCCGTAGTCTGAAGGGCAGGGAAACAGCCCAATGAACATGACTGCAGAGGAGCCAATCAGCTAGATGTTGCTGGGGCCACTGTGAGCCAATCATCAGCTGGCAGCTTGAAGGGCAGGGAAACAGCCCAATGAACATCACCGCAGAGGAGCCAATCAGCTAGATGTTGCTGGGGCCACTGTGAGCCAATCATCAGCCGGCAGCTGGAAGTTTGCTGGCAGCTGGAAGTTTGCTGGGGCCCCTTTGGCTGTGGCTCTCAACAAGCCACAAGGGTGGGGAGGGCAGCAGCAACCCAAGGCTTCCCTCCCTGCCTTCTTACTGGCTGCCTGTTCCAGGTTTTTGTTTTGTCCTGCCAAGCTGGAGATCAAACCCAGGGCTTCATAAGTGCTAGGCAATGCTCTACCACTGACCCAAACGCTACTCCTTTTAATTAATTAATTTATTTGTTTTTAGTTTTAGGTGGACACAATTCGTTTTTTATTTTTATATGGTGATGAGGATCGAACCCACTGCCTCGTGCATGCTAGGAGAGCGCTCTATCACTGAGTCACAATTCCAGCCCTCCTTTTTTTTATTTTATATTTTTTAGTTGTAGACACAGTACCTTTATTTATTTGTCTTTATTGCTGAGGATCGAACCTAATTCAAAGGAATGGAGACCTCGCTGGATGTAAAAATCCCATTCATAACCGCAAGTGCTTTTAGAAAAGTGCTCTAGAAAAGAGGGCTCAGGGGCCTCTTGGCTGGAACTACATGTTGGGTTCTGCCTAGGGTGGTCCTGGGTCTCAGGCTGGTCTCCTCCAGGCCGGCGGCCCCCGGATCCCCTGCGCGCCAAGACCCGGGAGGTTCTCGGCCCTCGCTGGGGCTGGGGGTGAGCCTCTCGCTGCAGCTCGCCGCTCCCCAACATTTTCAGGGGGCGATGACCAAAGTCTGAGAGACCCACACCACCCGGGATTTCCCGGAGGCCAGCCTCGCCGCTGGAGAGGTTCGCAAACCTGCCAACGTCCCTCCCGCCGGCCCGCGCTGCGCCACGGCCCAGATCCCGAGCCCCCCCCACCCCGGCCCACTGGCCGGAAGTCCGCACCACCGAGAGGGAGTCGGCTCTTGGGGCGCCTAGAGCGTTCCCGGAAGTCCTCAGGGCGGGATCTCGTGTAACTTCCGGTGGCGGCTTGCGGGCCGTCGTGCGGGCTTTGTCGGCGGCTTGCGGGGTCGAGGGCTGGGCGGCCTGGCTACGGCGTCGGGCGCGCGCCGTCCTCTCGCCGCCGGGCGCCGGGTGAGTGGCGTGTTGAGGGCTCGCGGCCGGGCGGCGTCCGGCCCAGCCAAGGCGGGCCGGTCTCCCGGGGCCGCGGCGGCGGCGCCCAAGCCGGCCGTCTGGTCCCCCCAGAGCTTCCTGCGTGATGCCAGGCGCGTTCCCCGCGCTCCGCGAGGCCCGCCGAGGTGCCACCCGGCCTCTGAGCCGCTCTGAGATGGGCTGCCCAGGCGTTTGCGGGTGCAGGTGCGAGCGTCGCTGCTTTGTGCCTCTGACCCTGTCTCCCTCCCTGCGGCCTCCGCTGGAGATGCATCGCCGGTACCTCTGTGCTGCTGGGGTTAGAGGCGGAGATGAAGCTTGGTTTGAGTCAGCTGCAAGAAACCCCACATGGGGACAGGTGGTTGGCTATGCTGTCTCCATTTTCCTGGAAACTTCCTTTTCTCTTAGAAGTCTGTGAGCCCCAGTGGTGTCTCTGCTGATGCCAGGCACGTTTTATCCTCTTTACACACTGGCTGCACCATGATCCAAGGGTCCTCGGGACCCGAGTGTGTGCCTGCGGTCCCCCAGAGTATTAATGTCTTATGTCTACCTAGGATCTGAGAAATGAGTCTTCAGGCAATACCGTGCTCTCCCTATCCACAGAGAGGAGGCCTTTGTCCCTGTCATTCCGTGACATTACATCAGTGCTTTCACAGTTGTCATAACCAGGGCATTCATCTTATGGAAGGTGCTGGGAGGGATTTCACAAGTCATCACCTGTGCTGGCCTCTCCTGGAGTTCTGGGATGGATTGCTGTTTCAGGAACAGCCAGCAGGTGATAAGGAGAGAGGGCAGAGCTGGGAAATCCGTAGGACACTTATTAGCCCAGCTGAAGATGGAAGACCCCGAGCTCAGGGAAAGAGACACAGAACACTGTGGTGTCATCTAAACAGTTCAGGAAGCTGTGGGTGCTGCTTGGGCTGGTGGACAGTGCTGGTGAAAGAACACTGGGTTTGTCAGGAAAGGGAGACTTTTTTCTGTTTTCCTTGGGAGAACCCTGAGAGCAGCTGCTAGAGGCAGAAAACAGTGGCCTTACAGTGAAGAGGGAGAAGAGGAGCCAGAGAGAGCAGCTAGCAGCTGGTTCTGCTTCTCTTTGACCTTGAACAAGTCAGTTCCTTGAATCCCTTGGAAGGTTCTGCAGAGAMCATGCAAAACAAGTGCACCTTGCCTGCCGGCTGGCACACACTTGGGGCCTCCACTGCTGCAGCATGTGCACTGCCAGGGCCGAAGCTTAGCAAACCATCCTGCTCTTTTTCTGTGGGCCTCAAGCAGTAAATTACTGAGAACCAAAGCTGGAATGCCCCTTTACCAGTGTAGATGTGAAGGCTGAGCTTCTAGTGCCATAAGGAACACCCCAGTATACCCCAGAGTCACGGTCACTGCTGCTGATACACAGCATCACTGTGCATTTATACCATTCCTGTGATGCTTCTTCCAGTAGATTCCATGTTTTGTAACAGAAAAGGGTCATGTTGTTTCAGAAACCTGGCATAGTTTTACTATTATTTATTTCACTCAAGTTTCTTTAAAGGAAAAAGYATTGATTTAATTTTACTTATATTCACAGAAGAAAAAGGAGCTAAGTAGAAACTTAAGATTGTTGATTTTGAAATATATGTTTGTTTAAAGCAAGTTATATTCTATTTARGAACTTCCTATGAAGTTAAAAAAAATATATGAAAACCTTTGTCAGGCACATGGTTTTAAACTGTATTCTTGTAGACACACAGAAGATTGTTGCCAGATGTGTTGTCACTTTAAACTAGCAGTTAGGTCAGGTGTAATGGCAGCCTGCCTATAATTCCAGTGACTCAGAGGCAGGAGGATCATAAACTTGAGGCCAGAGCACAGACCCTGTCTCAAAATTAAAAATAAATAAAAAACTGGGCATGGTGGTATACACTGGATGTAATCCCAGTAGCTCTGGAGGCTGAGGCAGGAGGATTGTGAGCCAGCCTCAGCAATGGTGAAGTACTAAGCAATTTAGTAAGACCCTGTCTGTAAATAAAATACAAAATAGAGCTGGATAGGACTGAAGATGTGGCTCAGTGGTCAAGTGTCTCTGTGTTCAATCCCCAGTACTGAAAAAAAAAAAAAAAAAAAAAAGCCTGGTGTGGTGGTGCAGAACTGTAATCTCAGTGGCTCAGGAGGCTGAGGCAAGAGGATCTCAAGTTCAAAACCAGCCTCAGCAAAAGCAAGGTGCCAAGCAACTCAAACTTAGTCAGACCCTGTCTCTAAATAAAATATAAAATAGGGCTGGGGATATGGCTCAGTGGTCAAGTGCCCCTGAGTTCAATCCCTAGTACCCCTCAAAATAAATAAATAAATGAAAAGGGTTGGGGATGTAGCTCAGTGGTAGAGTCCCTGGGTTCAATCCCAAGTACACGGGGGAAGAAAAATCAATATTACTGATTAGAACAGCCAAGAAACCACATTCCTACTCCTAATTCATTCCCTCATTTTCCTGGTACTGGGGATCGAACTGAGGGATACTCTACCACTTAACTGCACCCACTGCCCCTTCTTATTTAATATTTTGAGACAGGGTCTTGCTAATTGATGAGGTCATAATACTAATCCTAGCTGATATCTCAGCAAAATATCTGTAAAAGTGACATCACACTTAGGAAAGAAAACAGTCTCCATGAGGAAATGGGTGTGGAGGCAGACAGACTGGGATTCAAGCCTTAGCTGCCCTTGTTGGTTTGGTACCTTAGATTCTAGCCTTAGCTGCCCTTGTTGGCTTGGTACCTTGGGTGACTTTTTTCTTATTCTGTTTCCTCTGTGAATAGTGGAGTACATGGTGCCCTCTGAGGGTTGCATGAGGTGATGCCAGTCCAGTGCTCAGCACTGCGTGGCCAGAGCATGAGGGCACAACCTTCCTTTCCTGGGTCCTGAAGCAGTTGAGGCACAAGAGTGAGGCACACAAAGCACAAAAAGTCACCTTACTAGTCAGTGACCAGGAGACTGAATGCCAGTTAGATCTGTTGCCAGACTTCCCTGTTTAAAACTCGTGGCATGGAGGAGCAGAGCAGAACACATGCCCTGGAAACCGCTGGCTCAGGAAGGGGGAAGAGGTTGGCCTGAAGGCCTGGTCACTGACCAATCTTGTTTTGCAGACTCATCTTACCTACTTGGGGCAGAATGCTGTCTCTGACATAGTGGGGGTAGAGAGCCCTGAAAGTTTTTGAGTAGGAGATTGATAGCTGATTCGTGCTTTTAAAGGCTCCTTCTGCTGCTATATAGAAGATAGAAAAGAAGAAATATGGAGTTTGGAGGCTGTTGCACCTGTGTGGTGAGAAGTGGTGATGGAGGAAGGCATTTGACATTTGAGACACTGTCAGGTGCCTTCAGCAGTGTGCAGGCCTGGCCTGCAGGTCTGCTGATGGGTTGGACTTGGGATGTCAGTGGAAGAGCAGGGAGTCCGGATTGCAGTCTGGTCTGAACAGATGAAGTCATGTGGCCTCGCTACAGAAGGGGCAGATGGGAAGAGAACCTCTATTCTGAAGTTTGACCCATTAGTTTGAGAAGCTGAGCGCATCCAAGTGCAGGCATCAGGTTGGGAGCTGTCAGGTGCGGGAGCGGGGAGAGAGCCAGGCTGTAGGTAGAAGTGCGTGTCGTCTTCAGTGGATGGGTCTGTCTCCTCAGAGGCTGTGCGCGCCCCTCACTTGAGTGGAGATGGAGAGGAGATCTGAGCACTGAGCTTAGTGTATGGGAGGGTGGAGATGGTCAGAGGACACCAGGAGGGAGTTATGGTAAGAAAGGGATAGTCAGGAGAGGTTGTCCAAGAAGCCCATTGACAGTGTGACCTCCAGAGGGGCAAGTCAGTGGCTGGCAGGTATGGACAGGGATTGAGTTGCGTGAGCATCCATGGCCGGGCCCACTGAGCTGACAAGGTGGGCTGTGAGGGTGACAGTGCTGGAGTGAGTTCAGTGAAGAAGAAAACGGTGGAGAAATGAGCACCGTGGCCCTGTGTTGCTGCAGGGGAGAGCGTGGGTGGAGCTGGAGGAGAATAGAGTTAGGAAGTTGGGGGTATTTTTTGATGGTTGTTTATGTGGTTCTATGGATTGAACCCTTATGTGCTTTACCACTGAGCTACATCCCAGACTTTTTTACTTTTTATTTTGTGACAGGGTCTCACTGAGTGGCCTGGGTTGGCCTCAAACTTGAGACCCTCTTGTCTCAACCTTCTGAGTATCTGGGATTATAGCTGTGTACCACCATATCCCACCTGTTTTCTTTTTTTTTTTTTTTTTTTTAAATATTTATTTATTTATTTTTAGTTTTCCACGGACACAACATCTTTGTATGTGGTGCTGAGTATCGAACCCGGGNTTTTAAATATTTATTTATTTATTTTTAGTTTTCCACGGACACAACATCTTTGTATGTGGTGCTGAGTATCGAACCCGGGCCGCACGCATGCCAGGCGAGCGCGCTACCGCTTGAGCCACATCCCCAGCCCCCCCACCTGTTTTCATTCTTTTTTGGTATCGGGGATTGAACTCAGGAGCACTTACCACTGAGCCATATCCCCAGCCCTTTTTAATATTTTATTTAGAGACAGGGTCTCACTGAGTGGTTTAGTACCTCACAATTGCAGAGGCTGGCTTTGAACTCATGATCCTCCTGTCTCAGCCTCCTGAGCCACTGGGATTACAGGCGTGCACCACCGCGCCACCACAGCGTCTCACTCTGCTGCCCAGGCTGGTCCCAGACTCCTGGGCTAAAGTGATCCTCCTGCTTCAGCCTTCCCAGTGGGTAGGAGTATAGGCACATGACAAAGGTTTTTAGGTGGGTGGAAAACTGTGTTGCTGTGTCCTGGTGGGAATGGTGGGCTGGAGGGATCATGGGATTAGATTGCAGAGAGGAAGTGAATTATGACTGGGGAACTCCAGTTGGGTCAAGGACAACTTCACAGAGCAAGAGGTAGGTGGGGGAGTGGACATTCTGTCCCACTGCTTACCGTTTCTCATTGAAGAGGAGGAGCCAGGTTATCACCTAAAGGTCAGAAGAGAGTGATGGACATGATTTCAGAGGAAGCATTCTGGCAGCTCTGGGTCCCCAGGCAGTACGAGCACACCCACAGGTCAGCAGGCAAGCTAAATGTGACCAGAGCCAGGTCCCACACCAGCTGGTAGGTGTGAAAGGGCAGGGGAATTGGGATTATATGAAGAGGCTGACTGTACAGGCATCCCTAGGTTCTGGAGATGCCAAAACGGGCGGATATACTTAGTTCCTGTGTGTAACATGGTATTTGCTGTAGCCTATGCATAACCTCCAAATACTTTAAATCACCTCATGTTATTTATTTATTTATTTATTTATTTAAATGACTACTTTAAAGGTTTTTTTTGTTTTTTTTTTTAAAGAGAGAGAGATTTTTTTTAATATTTATTTTTTAGTTATTGGCGGACATAACATCTTTGTTGGTATGTGGTGCTGAGGATCGAACCTGGGCAGCATGCATGCCAGGCAAGTGCGCTACCACTTGAGCCACATCCCCAGCCCACCTCATGTTATTTATACTTAACACATGCAAATAGTTATTCTATATTTTTTGAGGGAATTAAGCAAGAAAAATGTCTGCGTATGTTCCATACACAATTTTACATTTTAAATACGTTTGATATGAGGTTGGTTGGAGTGTGGATGTGAATCTCAGGATGAACGGGGCAGCTGTGTGAAGTGATGAGAGTGGTCAGGTAGACCAGGGCAGGAAGCAGGAGCCATTTTAAGCTGGCATGGATGTAATGCTACAGACCCAGATGGTAAAATCACAGAAAGTACAGGACTAGAAAATACTAGGTCCTGACTGGACGCCTGGCTTTACGTCACTGCAGGTGAGGACGCGGTAGCTGTTGCTAATGTAGTGACTGTACAGGAGGGAGTGTCAAGTGGCTGCAGTACGGTGAGCCTGGAGTCCTTACTGGGTGAGGACAGAAGGCCGCACGGGAAGGAAAGAGAGACAGTGGAGAGAAGGTCGGGTTGATGCATTTAATAGTTCAGGAATATACATCTTGACTTTTGACTAGAGTTCCGGCCATATTCCTACCCTCTGCGACCCACCCAGAGCACACCAAGGGTCACCAGGGGTCCTCACCACAGAACCCCCTGTCCTGGAGTTGGACGTGTCGGAGGTGGACCTACAAAGAAGCCTTTCTACATGGAGGTGGCTGGTGGGTGAGATGAGCACACATAGTGGAGGAGGGTTGGGAGTGTGGGCAGAGGAAACTCTTCCTCTCCCACTTGCAGCGTCTGAGCTGAGTCTTGCACCTGCTTCAGCACCTTCCTGTTAACCAAGGGAAAGATGATCTTTTTCTGTCGTTTCAGATTCTGCATAGGAGCTGGTAACAAGAAGGTTGACTTTGAAACTTGAATTCCTGAGGATGAAAATTCACATAATATGATGTCAGACAAACTGACAGTGATGGAGCCCCCCGCCCCTGAATCGGGGGAAGTCCAGGAAGCCAGATTAGGGCAGCTATTGAGAAACCCAGAAGGGCAGAGCCTGGAGAGTCCTCCCTCTCAGGAGGGGGACTTCAGGCAGGTGACAGTGACCCACTGGAAAATCCAAACAGGAGAGACAGCCCAGGTGTGCGTTAAGTCAGGAAGAGACACTGTTCTGAACTCAAACATTCTTATACTTCAGAGGGAGCTCATAGAAGGGGAGGCACATCCTTGCGATATTTGTGGCAAAAGCTTCCCTTTTAATTCAGACCTAATTAGACATCAGATTTCTCATACTGGGGAGAAGTCTTACACATGGGATCACTGTGGGAAAGGCTCTGAGCAGACCCCACAGCTCCCTGAGCATCAGAGGGTCCACCCTGGAGACCGACTCTGTGTGTGCAATGTGTGTGGGAAAGACTTCATCCACTATGCAGACCTAATTGAGCATCAGCGAGTGCACGTGGGAGAAAAACCTTTCAAGTGTGCTCAGTGTGGGAAAGCCTTCTGTCACAGCTCCGACTTGCTCCGGCACCAGAGGGTTCACACCAGAGAGAGGCCCTTTGAGTGCAAAGAGTGTGGGAAAGGCTTTAGTCAGAGCTCCTTACTCATTCGCCATCAGAGAATACACACAGGAGAAAGGCCCTATGAGTGCAACGAGTGTGGGAAGTCCTTCATCAGGAGCTCGAGCCTCATTCGGCACTACCAGGTGCACACTGAAGTGAGGCAGTACGAGTGCAGAGACTGTGGGAAGACCTTCTTCGACCACTCCTCACTTGTGCGCCACCAGAGGATTCACACTGGAGAGAGGCCCTTTGAGTGCAGTGAGTGTGGGAAAGCCTTTATTCGGAGTTCAAAGCTTATTCAGCACCAGAGAATTCATACTGGAGAACGGCCGTATGTGTGCAATGAGTGTGGGAAGCGTTTCAGCCAGACGTCCAACTTCACTCAGCATCAGAGAATCCACACTGGGGAGAAACTCTATGAGTGTAACGAGTGTGGGAAGGCCTTCTTTCTGAGTTCTTACCTTATCCGACACCAGAAAATCCACACTGGTGAGCGGGTATATGAATGTAAAGAGTGTGGGAAGGCTTTTCTGCAGAAGGCCCACCTCACAGAACATCAGAAGATCCACACTGGGGACAGGCCTTTTGAATGCAAAGACTGTGGAAAAGCCTTCATCCAGAGCTCCAAGCTGCTGCTGCACCAGATTGTCCACACTGGAGAGAAGCCCTATGTGTGCAGCTTCTGTGGGAAGGGCTTCATCCAGAGGTCAAACTTCCTTCAGCACCAGAAGATGCATACGGAGGAGAAGCTCCACGAGTGTAGTCAGCATGGGAAGGGCTGTGCCCCGCCCCCAGACTTTGTGCACCAGGAGGGCCTTTCTCTGGATGAGGCCCCCATGCATTTGGCTAAGAGAGCCACAGGACAGGGGGATTGTGCAGACAGTGTATAGAAGATCACTCTGGCCCTGGGAGTGGTGTTTGGTAATGGGCGGACTTAGCATTCGTGTGACTTGTGAGATTGGGATGTGTAGAGTTTCCTTGATCTAGACAGCCTGGTTTTGGAGTGGACTGCCACCAGGGCAGGAGAACTGAAGAACCTGGTGGCTGGCCTGAGCTGGGGTGGGCTCAGGGTGGGAAGGTCGTCTCAAGAAAAGGTAGAGATTTCCTCACAATCATAACCCACACTTGAGCTAAGTCGTTTAAGTGCAGAGCTGAGTGTCTAATCCTGTTACTCAAGAGAGAGTTACCTATCGGAAAGACTAAAGAGGGAGACTCAGAACCAGCCCTGCCCGGTCCTAAGGTCTCTGCCCCTTGACCACTCAGCTTCTGGCCAGGCAGGTGATACATGCTATTTCCCATGTTCTCCAGGTTGTTTCCGCCTCTGTTCTTTGAAGGGTCTTCCTTGCCCTGCTGATTCCTGATCACGGTGCGAGTCTCCTCGGGCGTCACATTAAGCCGAGTTTCCCTGGTGCTTAGCCAAGCAGGCTCCATGCTTCTCTGGCTCAGTGCTCCCTCTGCTACTGTACTTCTTTGATGTACCAGAATCACGAATTCTCTCCCCTCACACTCAGTTCCTTTATGTGTCCCCAGTGTCTGGCACATGGCAATAAAAAGCACCCCCAGATCTGGGTGTAATAGCCATTGACTTATTGCTACTTTTAATGTTACCATATTCTTTGTTCATCTGGCACCAGTGTGACCTGTTGTGCTGGAGGTGTCTTCTCTTGTGTCCTAGCAGCTCCAGGATTAATTTGTCTTCTGTCATTTCCTTGCTCACATTGTCAGTTCTGACATTTGAAAAAAAATATATTGAGGTCTAAAGAGAATAATCCTAGATAATGGAAAAAACGAGTAAGGCACTGTCCATCCCAAAGCCACTGAATGCAGTGGGGAGGACAGATGTGGTGTACGACTGGTGTGTCGAAATAGAAGAGTGTTCTGGGTCCTGTAGGACCTTAGGTAAGAAGGAGATTTATTGTCACATGAATCTGGAAGGCTTCACAGAGGAGGGACATTTTAGCTGCTCCAGAGAGGGCAGTGGGTGCTTGTCAGCTAGAGGAGGAGAAATGACCTGGGGGAGGGAATCCCAGGGGACAGGCAGACAGGATTGCCATGTGGTTGGGCTGTCAGAACCGGGAAGTTCAGTCCATGGTGAACAGCAGCTGGCTCTGAGGTGGTACAGAACAACTCTCGCCCATAAGGACACAGTTTGAGTTCTTAACACGTTCTAGTGACCCTGGAAGCCTTGAAGGGGCGGGCCATTCTAAACAGACTGTACACAGAGTCCACTTCCTGGAAAATGCCATCACTTGATGTTGCAGACAGTCAAGAAAGGGGCATTACTGGCCACTTTAACCAGGACAAGGGAATCCCCACACCTGTGTAACCACCCCCACAATTAAAAAGACGTCTTTCATCCAAAAGTTTCCTCTTGCCCTTGCCAGCCAGCTCCAGCCCAGCCCCAGTGACCACTGTGTCAGTGAAGGTTAGTGTTGCTTGTCCTAGAGCCCCACCTACATGAGTGCAGCCGGTGACATGTGGAAACGGAAGTGTGTTCACTTCTGTTGCTAGTGCATACTCTTGTCCCTTAGACTCAACAGGTTGTGTTTTAGTGGTCTTCTTTGTCAAGTGGTGTTTACTGCATGGAAAATTTGTCATTTGTTTATTCATCCATCTATTGGAAATTTGAGTTTCCACTTTGGGCTCTTAAAAATAAAATTGCTGGGAATTCTGGGAATGTAGCTCAGTGGTGGAGTGCTTGCCTAGCATGCTCAAGGTCTGGGGATCATCCCCAGTACCAGGGCAGGTGGAGGGAGAATAAAACTGCTATGAACATTTGTGTAAATGTGTTTATTTGCACATGGGGTTTTCTTTTGGGTGAATACCTACAGCTTCTATTGCCAAGTTTTAAGATAATTGTTCATTCAGGCGCTGTAACAAAACACTCTGAGCTGGGAGGGCTTATGAACACTAGGAATTCATTTCTTGTGGCTCTGGAGTCTGGGAAGTACAAGGTCAAGTGCAGGCAGATTTGGTGAGGGTCCTCCTCCATAGATGGGTGTCCTGTAACCCCCACGGCAGGAAGAACAAGGAGTTTTCTCTGGCCTTTCACAGTTCATTTGGGAAGACTCTGCCCTGGACATCTGATCATCTCAAAGGCCTCACCTCCTCATACCACCACTTGTGGGGTTGGGATTTCAGCATAAATATGGGGTGTACTAAACAGTCCATTGCCATGAAAGTGTTTTGGTGGGAAATCCCAACAGTCTCCTGGTGACCCGTCTTCTCTTCCTGCCAACACTGGTGCTGTCACCATCTGGGGTCAGGGTTGATTTGCCTGCTGAACGGTGCCCAGCGCCTGTCTGCATCATCTTTTGTGATGTGTCTGTCCGTGTTTTTTGCTCATGTTTAAGGTGGGTTGTCTTTCTTGCTTTTTGTGCTAGGGATTGACTCGGGGAGCTCCACCCCTGAGTGGCGCCAGGCCTTTCTATATTTTGAGACAGGGTCTCCCTAAGTTGCTGAGGCTGGCCTTGAACTTGTGCTCCTCCTACCTCAAGCTCCTAAGTAGCTGGGATTACAGGTGTCCTCCACTATACCTGGACAGATTTTTTAAAACTTTTTTTTTATTAAACCTAACTTATTGGAGTCTTCTATTTATTTATTTATATATGGTGCTGAGAATCAAACCCAGTGTCTCACMCATGTCAGGCAAGCGCTCCACCACTGAGTTGTGAGCCCAGCCCTATCAGAATCTTTTTTAGCTAATTAATGATTTTTAAGTTTTAAGAAATATTTGCTGCTGGGTGTAGTGACCTACACCTGTAATCCCAGTAACTCTGGAGCTGAGGCAGGAGAATCTCAAATTCAAGGCCAGCCTCGGCAATTTAGTGAAATCCTGTTTAAAAAAAAAAGGCTGGGGTATAGCTCAGTAATACAGCACCCCAGGTTTAATTTCTAGGCTGAAAAACAAACAAAAAATGTTTGCCTGCTTAAGGCCATTGCTGTTTTCTTATGTGGTTGAATGTGGAACGTTGACCATTTTGGCTTCTGCAGTTAGTTAGGTCCACGACCCTCCTGGAGCTCATTTTCATTTTCAGTGTGCGGTCAGGCTCTCACCCACGTGGGCAGCTGCTGTGACTGCACTGTGTGTTGGGAGACTTCTTTCCCATATAGTGAGCTTCTCTACCTTTGGAAAGCTTTAGTGTCATGTGCGAGTGGCTGCTGCTTTATCTCAATGTGGTACTTGATTCACATAGTTTTATAACAGGTATTGGAAGTTGTTCATTTTTATTTTTTTCCAAGATCGTTTTGACTATTCTAGGTGCTTTGCATTTTCCTACAAAATTCAGTGTCAGTTTATCAAATCCTGTGTTGTGTAGATCAGTGTAGGGATAATCGGCATTTTAACAACCCTAACTTTTTTGGCTCTTGAACTCTGCATACCACAGTTCTTCCATTTTGTCCCTCCCATACTACAGACTGAGCCCAGGAGCACTCTGCCACTGAGCTATGTCTCCAGCACTTTGTGATTTTTGAGACAGTGTCTCGCTGAGTTGCTGAGGCCCAGCTCAGTTCTTTTAAGTTTGAGGCTTCTATTGTGCCAAGGAACGTGGTTTGCCTTTGAGGGCGTATGCCTTCTGCCCTTGTTTGCCTGTTGGTGTTTGTGAATGTTGATCAGGTCAAGCTGTTTGCTAGTCGAACTCATGTTTCCTTCGTCCTTTCTGGTTTTCTTCCCCACTAACCATTTGCTTTACTCGGCACTTCTCCCAGTAATGTACTCAGAGTTGGATTCATGAGTTATAATTCCGTTTTGTCAGCTCTGGTTTTGGGTGTGTAAACTTTTGGAATCATGATTTCCTTCTTTTCATTTCCTCCCACTTCAGGATTGTGTCCATTTGTCCATCCGGGTGCTCTACCACTGAGCCACATCCCTAACCCTTTTAAGTTTTTGTTTTGAGACATGGTCTCAATAAGTTCCGAGACAGGCCTTAAATTTCTGATATTTCTGTCTCAGCCCCCAGAGTCTCTGGGATTATACATCTGGCAGAATTGTTTTCTTGATGACCTTTTTCTCAAAGTCTCCCTCCCAGCCACTGGGTGTGGTGATGCACCACGTAGTCCTTGGGAGGTGGGGACAGGAGGATTGCAAGTTCAAGGCCAGCCTCAGGATTTAGCAAGACCCTAGGAAACTTAGTGACACACTATCTCAAAAAAGGAATGGGGATGTGGCTCGGTGGTTAAGAACCTCTGGGTTCAATCCCTGTTGCAGAAAAAAAGGAAAGACAAAATTCCCTCTTAGCTGATGTGGTGGACACCAGTAATCCCAGCTACTCAGGAGGCTCAGGTGGGTAGAGCACCCGTCAAATGGAACCCAATTAAATTTGAATTTCAGGGGCTGGGCTTGTGGCTCAGTGGCAGAGCACTTGCCTAGCATATGTGAGGCACTGAGTTTGATCCTCAGCACCACATTAAAAAGAAAAAAGATTTGAATTTCAGGTTAAAAAAACAAAAACCCCTTCAGTTTTCCTACAAGTCTGTGCTACGCAGACGGCGACCACCAGTCCACCAGGTCTCTCTCCTCAGCTTCCTGCTCACTGCCAGTGGCAGAAACTGCTAACCCCGTTAGTGGGCAGAATCCAGGAGTTTGAGGCCAGCCCGGACAATGTAGAAAGACCCTGTCACAAAACAAACAGAAGAGTGACCCTGAGGCTCAGGGGCTTTCATGAGTCCATTTCTCACAGGGCGGGGAGGGGGGAGGTTGTCCCGGGCAAGTCTGCACCACTCACTGCCTTTCTCAGCCTGGGGGAAGACAGGCGTGTGGCCTGGAGGACAGGACACTCCTGCTCTCATCCCCTTGGAACCAAGTCACAGCCACACCAGGTCCTGAGCCCGACAGAGCTGTGGCTCCCTGGGGGCATGCAGCGTGAGCCTGGGAGGCTCCACAAGGGTATTGGTGGTCTCTGCCGCACAGGGTGCCTAGTGGAGCGGGAGGTGGGGAGGGGATGTGGGTGGAGTGAGGGCCACCACAGAAAATGCCACATGGCACAGACTTAAAGGAAACAGGGTGATTCTCCCCATTTCCACGGTTGGTTGGGCATTCTGTACTTTTATGAGCTGAGCATGCCGACAGCAAGTCGGAACTCCATCTTACCCGGTAGACGGCAGCGGGTGCAGGAGCCCTGCGGGCACAGCTCCCGGGGCTGATGGCGGGAGGCTGTGGTCACAGGCTGCCTAGCTGTAGATGAAGGCCTTGAAAGCCACCAGGTGGCTCTAAGCAGCAAGAGCAGTGGTCACCTAGCCCAGACAGATTCCAGGGAGCACGGGGCAGGATGCTGTGGTGGGAGGAGGAGACCAAGCCACCTCTCCCAGGCACCCTGGCCCGCAGTCCAGCTGCCCTTCCAGATCACAGTAGGCTATTCCTTCCCAAGGCAGCCCTCGTGGAAGAAGAGGGACTCCCCTTCATATGGTAAGTCCTGGTGGCCTTCACTGCTCACAGGAGGGCTGCAGTACAGGTCTGTGGACTTCACTGAGGGCCAGGGCCGACACCTCCGGGAACACCCCTGTGCTACCACCCTCCACGTCACATTTACTGTCTCCAGAATCTACTCCCAGTCTGAGTTGTGGCCTCTGTTGGACCTGGGGCAGCTATCAGTGCTTGCTTGCAGCTACTCAGACCTGCAGTGGGCCCTGGCCATGTGCCTCCAGCAAAACCTTGGTCCACTAGGGCTGTGATGGCCAGCCTCACACTACCCGGGCACCTGCTCACCCTTCCCAGCCCCAGAGGGAGGACGCTGTCCTTACTTCCTTTCAGTCCCTGACTGCCCGGGGTTGGCTTCTCTCCTGTGGCTGGGTGGAAGCAGACCTTCCTCCAGGGAGGGCCCCCACCTCCAGGCTGCGCCTGCTTCCAGGACTCCACGGCCACACTGCAGCCCAGGCCTTGCAGCAGCTCATACTGCCATAAACAATGCCGCCAACTACAGGCGTTTTCTCACTGCCGCACTCCCGCTGGACACAATAACCGGGAGGTGACAAGCGACTTGAAGGTTGAAACAGGAACTGCTTTATTGCAGGGAAACTCAGCGGGAACTCAAGGTAGCAGGAGCCTCCTTATTGCAAAACAGCAGAGGTATATATACCTAACTGATTACACACAGCTTGACTCCATTAGCATCATCCAGTTATGGCAATCAGCCAATAAGGAATCTCCACCAACTTAATGGCTCGGTGGCATTGCCTCACAAACCACTCCTCCTGGCAAACTGCCAGGTGCCATCTTGACTTGATTTGCGGTCCCCAACATCTCACAGTCCTGGAAGCCAGAAATCTGAGGTGAAATCGCCAGAAGTCTTGTTTTCTCCTGGGCTTGCACTTTCTGTGTCTACACAGGCATTTCTCTCTGCATCCAGGTTCCCTTACTTAAGGGTCATAAGCCAAACTGGAGGGGGCCCATCCTAACACCCATTTTAACTGTCACCTCTGCAAATTCTTTTTTTTTAAGAGA